ATCATAAAGATCCTTTATTTTACTTTTTTTTATTTTTACGGTTCAATTAATTTTCATTCTTGAACTTAGGCTGCATTTGTAGTTATATGACTTACGGGAAGGTTATAAAAATCAGACTGTATTCTTAACCTTCGCCTTATTAAGTTTTTGGTTACTTTACTTTCTAAAACGATTCTGATTTATTGTATCTACCATTAATTTATAATAGGTGAATTCATTCTAATTTATTTTACAACGGTGGTTCATATTATCTTCTAATAACTAATGTTTTTTTATATGTATAATATAACCAATGCGTAACTATTATGTCATCAATTTTCTTGAACTAAGATCTTTTGTAATGTTAAAAATAACTACATTTTCATATTTTTGTACTAAATATCTTGCATTATTTTATCTATCCTACAAATTTCTATAGAATGTTTGTTTTGTAAGGCTGATCTCATTAGGGAATATATTAGATCAGGAGCTTCAAGAGTGTTATTTAACTACACGTTGGACTTGTGGTACAAGGATTTTGGATGATAGCTTGACCATCTCGACCTTTCTTCAAACATATGGTTCCTTCATAGTAACATTGCGGTTGTACTGTTCCAGAACCAAGCTATTATTTTTTTTCCTGAATTGAAGCTGCCATTCTGTTATCTTTTATAACTATGAGTAGAAGATTCCCGGGCTTTTATCAACTTCGTCAACCGTCTTGGTCGTTTGTACTTCGTATCCTAAAGAAGTCTGGACAGTTCTCTATTCTTCAAAAGCACTCTATTAGAAGTTAGTCACAAGCACATTCGATGAAATAGGTAATTTTCTTTTATTTGGGGATCTTTTATAAATATTTGCTACAATCATGATACTGCAATATATCGCTATTTCAAAACAAAATACTAATTATTTCACAGAAAAGTATTATTGCTTTTGTATTTTAGAAGGTATAACAATAAACATTAAAAAAAGGGGGCTGCAGTCAATGCGGGAGATCGTAATGTTACAATGAGTCGAAAATCGTTTTTATTTTTGAAGTGAAATTAGTACCAGCAAAATTTTCTTTATTATTTGCGTGAAGGAGAATAGCTAACAGGCTTACGAAAGATGAAAGTCAATTGGCAAGTTCAATCAGTTTACTTAATAGAAAATTGAGTTTCCCTCATTTTCGAGTAAATCTAATTAAAGTAGGAGAATTACATTTCAGCCGCCTTACTATTTTGTTCTTCAGGCAGAGCTCAGAGGTAAATAGGTACATATTTATTTAAAAGAATGTCATTACTTAAGCTAATGACTGAAACGTCGAGTATTGACAACTGGTACAGGTAGAAGATAATTTTTAAGATAAAAACGACAAACTTCACAAAAACTAGCAAGTACATTTATATGTTTGCTGCTGAGTTGATTGCATCAAGTGAAACCCATGTCACCCATTTAGAGCCATGACATCACAAACGAACTGTTTCACTCAATGATACTGTAATAGTGTAAGCCAAGTTAATCAAGTAAAAAAAATAGAAGATAACCTTCTGGTGTTGATCTATTACTTGTTCTACAACAAGTGCAACATGTTAACAAGATTATCAACTTTAGTAATATGCTTATTTAGATCAACTCTACTTATTATCGAAAACTTACTCCAATAGCGAATGAAACTCATTCGCTTTTAGAGAATCATGTCACGATGAAGTAATTTATCGTCGTCAGAGGCTTAACCGTATTGTTGGCATCAGCTACAGGTTTATTTGTTAGGCTGACGTTAAGAACACGAACACAACTGAAAACGAATGCCCCTTACTTTCAGGAATAGAATTTTTCGTGTAAACCTGATATGTAAAGATTATTTCGACAGTAAAAAGACATAATTCATAAAAATATTTTTTTTTATTATGCTTGTTTTGTCACATAGCTGAGGAATATACGGAGAGAAGATTGTGAAGGAGAATAAAAGTGAACTAATGGAAATTCCTTTCACGGTAATGCATTATATCGATGTATCGCCATCTGGTGGGTATTTGCTGCTGTTGAAACTTAAACGTTCTAAAGTTCTTATTAATTGGTTTACGTGCCTATCACGCCATCACATATGTAAGTTGCGTCCTCGAATCAGTTAGACAAGTTAAAGTATTTCAGTAAGGGCTTGTCTAACGCTTGAAATAGTTCAGTGTCAGCAAATACTCACTAGATGAAGGTTCACCGCCTATATTTGGATAGTACATAAACTCGCACATTAGGTGCTTTTTTGGTTTGGCCAGTAATTTATGGAAATTGACCATGGCGCGCTGATTAGATCGAAATTGCGATCCACGTCTGGCAGGTACAGTTTTAATTAATTTGACACCAAAACCTAAATCTTCTTATGATAATATAAGTACAAAATCGAAGCCCTAAGAGAATAATGTTAGATAAAATGGTAAATTTCCTTGCATTCCTTTTTCTTCTTTTTCATTGGTTGCGTAAGAAGTAAGGCTACTTCTTGAAATTTAGTTTATTCGTTAGACTAATTTATTGATCGGCGACACCAGACGCATTAAGTTGAGAGCAATAGAAAATGAAATGCATGGGACAAGCCAGGGAATTGTACCTGCCGGCATACATTTTGTAAACAAATGCTCTAAAAAAAAAGATCTAATCATTTTTAGTGTGTGTCTGTGGTGCTTCGTGCATGTTCTTTTAAAAAGAAAGGACTGAATTGAGCTGAATTATTATATTTGTGAAAATAATCAACAATTATCGGTGAGTTTACTCACAGGGCATTTCCATGTTCACCTATTTATCAGAATTCATAAATTCTTGCTAAGTTGATTTACATTTTATTATTTAGGCATTTTTGTCTTATTTTATTAAAGAGATTAGAACTCAAGTACCTGAGCCGTGCAATTCTCATTAAGAAGTGACGCTATTACAGAGTGCTTGAGCCGTTAGCGAAAACCCTTTAATTATTAATTACCTGACGGAGTGCTTGAGCCGTACAGGGTGCTGTTGTAATGTGTTTCAGCCACACAATGTGTTAAAATCCTTTCGACCGTTACTTTATTTTACCACTGACTCCGTTGCACCGCAAGGTACCTTTTTCGTTGGTAGTAGTTTAGCACTCGTGGGTGACAGACACGATGTACTCCATAAATCATAGTTTTAAACAGAGAAGCCAACTTTGATGAAAGTATATAAAATAAATGGCATTTAGGCGAACTGGTCGCTCATACTTCCGTTTTGTTCCAAGTATTTCGCACGTCGTGTCACCTTGTACTGAGGCATCTTCCATTTAACAATCAGTTTTAGTTTTGTTTTGTATATGGTTCCTATAAATTGCTTTTTCTTTTGTTTTATAAATTTATTTTACTTTAATTAATATTTTTTGAGTCTGAAGTTATTTGTGTCACAGTTGTTAGTATCATTCAAAACTATAAGGCACTGCACCGATTAAGTTTTCTCGTAACTTTAATTGCGATGCCACACCATCAAATATATGTAAATTCAGCGGTCGTCATGACACTTTTATGTTTTATTTTTTCAATGCATAGTAGTATTGTTCTGAAAAACTGTTTCATTAAATCCAAAGGTTCTTTTGCAACGATTTCATTTACATACTAACAATTTCTTTCATTCCAAATTTAATACGGTGGAATAAACTTCCTGGCAAAGCTGCAGAATCTCACCTAGAGACTGTAATAAAGTACTAAAAGCTTTCCTGAATTTTTGCAGCTTTTCACTGCTTTTTATTAAGCATTATTATTTCTGTGAAATAAAAGTTCTCTTCTCGACAGGATAAAACACTTTTACGCAATAACATAAACTCAGATGGGTTACAGCTTTACATATATATTAATGTTCTTTATTCTACTCATTCCACAAAATCACAAACTAAATTTAGGTGGTGGTTTACAATAAAACTAAAAAGGATTTAAAATGTTTCAGACATTCTTGTCTAAAGTATTAATTTTGATAGTGTACTACGAGGGTATCATAGTTTTTAAATGAACAATAGAAACATATACTAAGAACATTTCTATTATTTTTAAATTTACTTCTTGTTGGTTTGATACACTTGAAATAATATACTTTGAAAAATTCGAAAAACTCAAATGTGTAAAGTAAAGTAAATGCAACAAATTGCAGTACGAAACCTTGTAACTATAACTGAGTTTTACATAGTATTCTCACACATATTCTCAGATTCTATAATAGGTCTATGACCTGTTCCTTCTTCGATTTGACCTCATTCTGTATCTAAATTGTTACTCGATCTTTTCCTTGGTCGACCTTTGTTGCGTTTGCCACTAAGAGATTTATCTCTTGTCAATTTTCAATAATCTGTTTTCTATTATTCGGCTTATGTGTTGCTTCCATTGGCTCTTGCGTTGCAGGACCCATTCATTATCGTTGTATATGTTGTGTGATTTTTTCACTTCGTTCTCAATCTAGTAACGGTTTTCGTGATATGTATTTTCATTTCTGTAGTTTAGTTGTTTCGTTTATGATGTTTCTGGTCTTGTTTCTGAGATATAAGTCATAATAAGTCTGATTGTGGTCTTGTAAATCCGAACCTTTGTTTTTGGTTGTAAATGTTTATTTCGCCAGATTATGTCGTTCAACCATCCCGCAACTTTTGTTTGCTTTGGTCACCTGTCCTCTTATCTCGTCTTCAGCATTGCTGCAACTATTTATATCGATTCGTAGGTATTTAAATCTCATTTCCTGCTGTATTATTTGGCCATCTATTTCTAAGACACTTCTGACGGTTTTTTCCTATAAAGTTAAAAATGTTTGCTAGGCTTTGGAGGCTACTTTCATTTCGGCACATATCATAGCGGCATCCGCGTAACCAACAATTTTTAGTTCTTTGTCACGTTTTATATCCTTTACTAAGTGGCACTTTTATAATTTTTGAATCTCAGTTTAAACGAACAAGTTGATCTTAAATGGGCAGTATTTGGAACATATTTTGTTAGTTATGCATACTTTTGGGAATAAATTTTGAATATTCAGTAAAGTATGACAGTAGGTGTTCAGCTTACCTCTAGCTCTCGGCTTCGTCAACAGTTTTTGAACGATGTTGTCGTAAGCAGACTCATCTGCGACGCCTGAATCTTTAACCAACTTTTCCTTGATTGCAATGCAAATATTATGCTCGGCGAGGAGGTCTTCGAGTTCTTCAAAGGCCTATAACAAACATACTTTTAAATTCAATTCGTCAAACAACAATCAGATGTTTGTCTTATAAAAACTCTATAAAGATGTAGGTTATTTGAAGCAACAACATTAACGATAATTTTTACCAAAACAGCGTCGCCTTGTGTGAGGGATCCCTATATAACCTAACCGCATCTGATTTATTTCCATGTGCAGCTGGTAGAGCAGTGCATGAAATATTTAGAAAAAAATAATGGAGAACTCTCAGAATTAGAGTCTTATTAATTGAATATTTACAGATTATACGTTTATCTATTATATACTACCTTATTGAAGCTGTTACTTATAAAAGCATGTGTTACTTAAAATGAAATTACTGTTCCAATACATATTCAAAAACTCTCTTAATTGATTGAGCTGATTTCAGACAGTGATACAAACCATTAAAAAGATTTAAGATTTCGCTTTTAATGCTGATGGACGATTAAATCTCTTCAACCTACAGTTTACAGCATATCACGCGAGTTAGGCGGAATGACTTCTTAAGTCTCCTTTTTGAAATAGTAGAAACGGGTGGGTGGCAGATTGGGAGAAAACAGATGAATTGAAAACAAAAGAGAAGTGAACGATTGTCTGTGGAATAAAAGTGTCCAAGGATACCAAAGAAAAATTTAATCATTACTTTGAAAATTTTGGAAACCTAAACAGGTTGGTAACCAGGTGAAGCAATGCCTACCACTACAACGAGACTTTTGTTATGGTTTTATTAGTGTTTCTACCTCATATCTAGTGGGAATCCCATTTACAGCTTAGAACTACTCGGAAGCTGTTAATTGGTTTTAGATGGAATCATCATTGCATCCACAAAAATAGAGTATTTTATTGAAACATAGAATAGGTAACCATAATTAAGCAAAATGGAAAGTTAGTAATCATCATCATCATAAGATCGTCAGTCCTAAGGCTGGTTGGACACGTATCTCCACTTCCTATCCTGAGCTAAACTTCGCATTTCCCTAAAACTAGAACAGCCCACATCCTTCACTATTTGCGAACAGTAATCTAATCTAGGTCTACCTCTACCCATCTTAACTCCTGTTTCTGCCTCTAGTATGTCTCTGACTAGACCTTCATGACTAAGAAGGTGTCCTACCAACCTATCTCGCCTGTTTTTTATTGACTTCCATAGGGTCCTCTGTTCTCCTATTCTTTCCAATACCTCTTAATTTCTAACCTTTTCTACCCACGTTATCCTCATCATCCTCATATAGCACCACATTTCGAACGCTTCTAACTTTTTCTTTTCCTCCGCGCCCACTGTCCATGTTTCGCACGCCGTGCTCCACCTATACAACCTTAACAACCTTTTTAGGATTTCTAAATTAACCGTTCGCGAGCATAGAAGTGACTCCTTTTTATTACTGGCGACAAGATCCTGCGCTAGCCTCTGCTTTATATCCCTACTACTCCTTCCATTCTGACTTAACTGACTTCCGAGGTTTCTAAAATCAGCAACTTCTTCTAATTTTTCGTCTCCTATCTTTATATTCGCTCTTTCCCTACTTTTTCTTCCCTTGCATATCAGTATTTTAGTTTTACTTTTATTTATTTTCATACAGTACTGATCTGTCAGTACCGCTTCCATTTTATTTAAAGCTATCTCTAGGTCCTCCTTGCTAGATGCTAATACTGCTATATCATCTGCAAATCTAAGCATACTAATCTTTTGCCCTTGCACATCTATCCCTACAGTTGTACTGTCTTTAATGATGTTGATGGCGTCTTCGATGTATAGATTAAAAAGTAGCGGTGACAGTGTGCATCCCTGCCTGACTCCCTTCCTAATATTTACTTCTCTACGTTGCATCCCCAGCTCTATAACTGCCTGTTGCTCTTTATACAAACTAAGTATCACTCTTCTATCTTTGTAATTCATCCCTACATTTTTAAGTATATTTAACATCTTGTCCCATTTAACATTGTCAAAAGCTTTCTCTAAATCTACAAATCCTATGTACGCACTCTTTCCTTTTTCTATCGTTTTCTCTATTGCTACCCGTAAAGCTAGAATGGCCTCCCGCGTTCCTCTATTTCTTCTAAACCCAAATTGATCTTCCCCTAATAGTTCTTCCGCCCTTTTTTCCATCCTCCTCTGTACAATTCTAGTTAAGATTTTTGACGCATGGGAAGTTAAGCTAATTGTTCGAAATTTCTCGCACCTATCCGCGCCCCTCTTCTTAGGTAATGTTACTACTACGTTCCGTTTATAATCCTCTGGGACTTTCCCCGTTTCGTAAATGTGACTAACTAGCTTAAACATACGATCTCTAACCTCTTGTCCTGCATGTTTTACAATTTCCCGCAGTATCCCATCTACACCTGGCGCCTTATTATTCTTTAAACTTTTTAATGCTACATCGAACTCTTCTCTCATTATGGGATAACCAAGCTCATCTATTTCCACACTATCTTCCTTCTCTAATATATCTCCTAACTCAGGGCCTGCGTAAAGGTTCTCTAAATATTCTTTCCACCTATCTGCCTTTTCCTCATTTTCTATCAACATGACCCCTGCCTCGTTTCTTATATTATTACTACTGTATCCTACATCTCTAAAATTCCTTTTAATTATATTATAAGCCTCATCGGTTTTACCTACTTCAAACTTTTCTTCTACATCTTTACACATCCTATCAATCCATTGTTCCTTAGCTGCCCTACACTTCCTAATTATTTCCCACTTTATAGCTTTATATCTTTTTTGCCCTTCTTCGTCTGTCTTGTTTTTGTATTTCCGCCTTTCGTCTATTAATCCTACAATCTCATTTGTTCTAATCTAACTGATATCTCCCTAAATCACCTGGCATCTTCCACGTATAGCGCTTCCTAACGTGATGGTTGAATAGAGTATTGACGACGGTTAAGCTATGTTTATCGCACAATTCTATCAGCCTATCTCCCCTATCATTTCTATTGCCTAATCCAAAAGAACCTGCTATTGCACCCACTTTACCTTCATCTGTTGCTGCGTTGAAATCTCCTAAAATTATTAAGTTTTCCTATCATTTCACTAAACTTAACACGTCTTCTATATCTGCATAAACTGCTTCTACGTCTTCATCACTATAAGATAAGATAAGTTTAATTTAACCATATCTATCCTGTCGCTTTTTGTAAATAACTTTTTACACTCTGCGCTACTTTCCTACGCATTACAATTCCTATCCCCGAATTACCTTCTACCGATCCTGTATGTATTACTCTAAAGTCCCCACTCCAGAAGTCTCCAGCTTCGGGCCAACAGACTTCACTAATACCTACTATATCTAATTTTAATCTATCCATCTCTAGTTTTAATTTGTCTAATTTTCGTACTTGCTTCATTGTTCTAACATTCCACGCTCCGACTCGTGAAACATTGCACCTATCCCTATTGCACTTATTGATGACATCCCCCGAGGTAGTCCCCGCCCGGACATCCGAATGGGGGACTAGTTTACGTCCGGAGTGCTTTACCCCAGAGAACGCTATCATTTAATTTATAATTTGTACGTTGCACTCGGGATCGTAATGTGGTGGTTTCCCGTTGCCTTCCACATCGCAGTATTGTGCATCAGAGTGCCATACCGATCCTCGTGGTCTCTGCCACCCTGAGTACTGAAACAGCTGCTGCCCTCTTTCAGAGACTCGTCTTAGTCTAGTTTCTCTTTAAGAACCCCTCCAATATGGTTGAACCTATGGTCCAGCTACCTAAATCATCGAAATTCGCAAGCCGATCCACCCACTCTAGTTTGTACAAGAGTTTCGTCAAGGTTCAAGTAATTCAAACGTTGGGAAATTTTTATTATTTCGTATTTTCATAACTTATTTCTAGTATTACATAATGTCCTTAACTTTTAGAAAGTTAATCCAAATAGTTTTATTTTTTGTAAGCTGGCATGTGCGACTCAAACCAGTAGATTAATTATCAAGCATATAAGCAGCTAATTTAGATTAAACAAAAAGAAGTGAGACAGGGTGGTGAGATAGGTGGCTGTTTTCACTAACCCTGCTATTTTCTACGTTTTCTCAAGTACCCATGTGATAATTTGCATGTTTAAACAAATAGTTTGGATGTAATGATAGTAATGACCTAAGTAGAAAACAATGAAAACTACGAACCACTAGAACGGAGTTTCTTTTTCGTGTAGTTAATGTGCGAGTGTATTTTATTTTTGTGTAACGTTTCAAAGTACAGTAACATTTTAACATAACCACAACAAAAAGTAAAATGTTTACTACTGCCTATTTCAACTGTACTTTATCGTAGAATGGTAGTTATCTGTAATGGTACGTCAAATATTTGATACACTATTTCTAATATTGAGTCATTCATTTTATTGAAAAAGCTCTTGTGAATTCAATATTTCTTGATTGTTAGAATATCACCAATTAAGGAAAGCTCCAAAATTTTTCATTTTAAAATATGCAGGTAGATTTGGTAAAGTTTTTGGTTAATCGATTACAAGTGAGAAGTTTTCTGAGGCAATTCCATCGGAACAAATAAATGAATACAATCGGAAAACTCACGAACATAACTGAGCGTAGATTCTGCAATAAAGAGATATAGTGTACCGTTAACTTGCTTCAAATGTATTTTATATTCACTCATAGCTTTTGTGAATGTAGATTCTACTGGTTCAGTGTTAATACTTTGTTATTAAAGTGTACCACGTTGTACGGTAAATTCTTTGATTAAAACCAGCTGCTTTCAATTTATGTGTATCGTAAAGTTTTATTAAAATAAATTCGTTTGCCGTTCTTGATACGACCCATTCAATAACATTTTAGCCTATTACTTTTTCCTTGAATTTATCAAAATCCGGTTAACTAATAAGCTGTCCTTCAGCACAACATTTCTGCTAATATACAACGCAAGTACAAGGAAATTCATTTGAAAACATTTCATGACCGTGTAATCGGTTCGTGATTGAAAGCAATTTGCATAAATGAATAAAAAATCCGCGATTGAAATTATGGTCCCTTATAAC